ATGGTAGATATATTGATATAATCATACCTCCAGATTTTCATGGGGAATACACTGAATGTTATACTGCTGCTTTTTGATGGAGAAATCAGACACTCAGTAAAATCAAAATGATTTCCCTGAAATCCTTTCACTTTATTTACCTTAACATAGGGTAAAATATTTCGTAGCTGTAAGACTTCCTGTCATCCAGATGATGCTGAATTACGGGCTGTAGCCACTGACTTTGTACTACCTTTTAAGTGAGTCAAGCATGATGGAAAAAGTTGTAAACAGCCACAGCAGAAAAGCCACCAGCTCTAGAAATCTTGGAAACAGAAGGTGTGATATTTCTTTGTCAGCTTTCATTCTGCTGGATTAAATATAAGAAGATAAATGTAGACATGGAAGTTAGGCACAATATTTTGAAGGAAAACAGAAATAGTTTTAGAGGCTGGCGGGACTCCCTCAAAAAAGGTGTTAAAGAGGAAATTCAGGGAAAAGAAGTGGGAAGAATACAAAAAAATTAGTTAAGTGGGATATCTTTCATGGATGTTTTCAGGGAAAAATAGTTGTGGCTTATTATGAGACTTTTATGCTCAAGGCAGTTGATAAAAAAAGTTGCTTTCTGTCCTAAATCTTGAGATGTCTCAGCTATTTTTCTCCATCACTTTTATCCTTACCAGTGTCACACACTTGAACTCGGTGGTTTTGCAGCCCCAGGAGGAGGAGAAGGTGCTTGGATCTCACCAGGTATCATGCCGAAAAGCAGCTAGTGGCATTCTGCAAATCTGCACTCTGCCATCAGTACATGGCTTCATGTTATTAAACAGGGTAATGCATGGCCCCAGACAGCATACAAAACAGCAGTTCATTTCCAGCCCCTCTCTGGATGTTGCAGCACTAATACCGCAAATCAGTTGTCAGGGAATATAGCTATGTTATGTGTGTAACCGTAATAAGGCACTGCTATGGGTGAGATCATTGTTTCTAGGGGGAATAAAAAAAAGTAAAGAAAGAATTTGGATTCAAATTGCAAAGCAACCCTGTTCCTGTAAGAAGTGAAAACACGCTTGGATAAATGAAGGTTAATAGAGTTAATTGTGGGGAGTAATACAAGAAGGCAACTCATGCTAGAGAACATAATTGTGATTCAGATAAAGGGAATTGTGATTAAATAGAGATTGGATAAACATGATTATCCTGGAAACGTTTCTCAGCACAGTACTGGGAGGTTTTAAGATGCAGAGGCAGGCGCACGTACATGATCTGGAAGTAAAGACCATGTACACCACTGCCAGCTCCCCTGGGTATTCCACCACTGTGACTGGTTGCCTATGCCGCTGTGCTGCGTCAGGCCATAAATACAGTTAACTTTCAAGTCTATTCTGTCTGCAACTGTAGTTGGCAAGTGACCTCCATCTTCATTCCCAAACCCCAAGATTTGTCATGTAGCAAATTTTCATATAGACAGGTAAATATTCGTACTTGCCATATACGCCAACTAAACCTGACACTATTAATTTAAAATCCTTGATAATTTTAAGATGTACTGTGTCATATCCTTTATGTCAATAATTATAAGCTTACTTACTGTTTTTTTCCACAAGTTGTATTACTTTTTATGTGGCTGTTTAAAATGAAATGCAGTTTGATAACAGTTTGAGAGGCAAGCAAGAGGCTTTCCAAACTGAACTCCTTTACTGAAATACATACTTGCGCTTCTTTTATTTGTTGAGTTACAAATATTCCTTGATGACCTATCAGAGATGAAGGGAATCATATGTATTCCTCCTAGGACAACCACAGACTTCCAAACAGACTCTTTTTTTTTTTTTCCTTTTTCTTTCCTTTTACTTGCAAAGTATTTTTGGTACATTTTCAACTTTTAACTATGTATCATTATTAAGGACATCTAAATATACTGAATTTGAATACAGGATGGTACTAATTCACATTATAATTCCTATAGATTATTTTACGTAACTCATGCAGAATAAAAAAATCCCTGAGAATTTAATAAGAACAACTGTTAAATACTTCTGCTGTTCAATTATTTACAGTACAGGTTGGAATGACTGTTTCATGATTCTTGGGTATATTGTATCATAATGACTTCCCAGCTGCCTAAGGAGAATTTGCACTGGAGTTCTATTATTCTCTATTCTGAGCAAGTGAACACCTCTCTAGGGAATAAGCCATTCTGCCCCACCAAAAAAGAGGTTGAGGGGAGATCTTTTTGCTTTCAAATTTATCCATTTTTCCAGTACCAACTGTATTCCAAATCTTCAAGCAGACTTCACAGCCCCATATAGAGAGGCCTGTTATAAGCCCTCACTGTCATATCTTTAAGCTTGCTCCTTGAAACTAGGTGGCTGATCATTTACATACTGTAATAACCTCATGAGTATTAGGATAGCATCCCTTGTGATAGTGAGACATGGCTGAGAACAAAGTGAATTGAAATTATTTGTGAAAACCCCCAGCACATCTTTTTATTTCTGCATCTGCCACGTGACACAATAATTGTCTTACATTCCTGTCTCCTCTCCTTGTTAAGTGAGTTTGTTGAAGTTTGCTGTATCAGACATACATTTATTTGCAACCATTCCCAAGATCATGACTCTATTACCTAAATTGATCGTTGAAACTTGATTTCTGTGCAGGAATTATTTATGTATCAGGGTAATTTTTAAACTCAGTCAGTCATGCACAACAACATTTTTCATTTCCAGTCTAAAATTCCATTTCCTTAGCGAGATCTTCTGTTTACTGAAGCTTAGTAAGAGTAGTCATTTGTTATATTTTAAAGTTTTCACAAAATTAATTTCCTGAAGGTCTATTTCTTTCTATCACAATACAGCAAGTATACACAGGGCCTAGACTCAGAGGTCGTGTAGATGACAGAGTAACATTATTATTCCCACAAACCAGCTCAAAGGATCTTGGCTGCCTATTAATACATGCACAAGTTTTGGCATGCACAAAAATGAAGGCAGAGACACCAAAGTTAAGACAAAGTTACACACCACCTCAAGTACATTTTGAGTAGTTTGCGACACAATGTTTCTGGAAAAAGAGCATTTCACTGCTGAAATATTTTCATTTCCTAAGGGAGATGTGGGTTTTGAGCATATGTAATTTTATTAATTCTGCAACAATCAAAACTTAACTCTGGAAAATTTGTTTAATTTCCATGAAAAGGTTGTTTGAGCTCTGACTTCCTGGCCATGATTTTTCCACAGCTTTAGTAACAGTAACATGACAGTTTCACATCAGAAAGTAACCCATACATGCTGCAATTTTGTGCTTTTCAGAGAATAAAAGGAAAGAGCTTTAAAAAGAAAACACTGAAATATTTACTGCCTGTGTTACTGAAAAGGAAAGCTGAACCTTCCAGTTACCCACCATTCCACAAGCTAGCCTGTTGTTGACGTTTACAGCGGCTTTCAGGCAGCTTGACATCACAGGTTGACATTGCTTGACTCATAAAGGCAAGGCAAATACAGTGTTCGATTTTCTAATTTAAACTATGTATTTTTATGTAGTCGTGGTTTGCAAAAGGTGAAGAGAGATTACATTTTTATCAAGGTATAGTATGGGCTTAAGGCTAGTGATCTTGGATTCTAAACGTACATAGCTGGCAGTATTTCTGATGTGTTCTGACAATCATGCTCTGTCTTGCATTCATGACAAAACTCTTCTAAATATGGTTCTCAGTAACCACAACAGTATGACAGATGCTTATAGCAACTGGACATAAGCAGTGGCAGGTAAATATGGTGTGTAATGTTATCATTCAGAACTGCAACAGGTTGCAGTGAAGCAATGAGGGCCTTAACTATTTTCTTCCTTTTTTATTTGGTTGTAAATCAATTAGGTTAGTTTGAAAATTTCTTCTGAATCAGAAGTTTTGGAAAATGAAATGCTAAGAATTGGGAAGAGTCGTAAGTCAAAAGGTGTTAGTAACTCTACTGCTTTCAAGAAAATAACATGAAGAACAATGGGAATCAATTGCTTTCATTATTTAAAGACACAGTAAAAGTCAGTTACATTGTGTACAGTGTGGAAACCCCCAAATGCTTTGCAGTTTATCACAGATTGACATTGGTGGCTGCTCTGCTATAATGGTTAGCTCTGCCCATGTGACTGGGATGAATGTGTGACTCATCTTCACAGAATACTTTCAAACATTATGAGGATCTGACTGAAGTCAAGGTTGTAGTGATTAAGGCAGCTATCTGGGTGTAACAAAGCATTATCTCCAGTTATGATTCTGCAAGTGGGATTACTGGGAGGCAGATCAACAGGATAGCTTAAGACCAGAGTAGCATTACTGAAGGTATACATATAGTATTTGTGGCATTGTATGAGAGAACACTGTATGAACTTTAGAACAGTCCAAATATACCATTAAATAATCACATAGTAACGACTGCTAACTGAACATCAGTGAATGCCTAATGCAGGGATAATTCACTAGTGAAGTAAAAAGCTGGTAACACAATAGGTAACTACAGAAAAATACAGTAGTTGGTGTTTTAATAAAGTGGTTAAATATGAGAAGCTAAAGCTTGAATGTTTTTGACTGGTGCTGCGTGGCAGATCATCACAACCGAGTCTGATTATTAATACACAGGGTTATGCTTGCTGTCTGCAATGCTGCACTAAGGAAGAAATCTAGGTGAAAAATTTTGTCATGAGTTGAACTTTTGACTTTGTGTAAACCTATATGCATCTGATTTCCAGAATATTTACATTAGTTGATGGAAATACTGTGAACAGTGCTGAGTTGCTACAACTCCATGGAGCAGCACAGCAAACATCACAATGAGCAGACAGTGTAGTTGTTCTCTTATTTAGAAGTCACTGATAATGAAGTCTTTATCTTCAGTCATTTGTCACAGGTGTGTTTCTACACAGTTCCTATCCTTACGTTCCTTTGGGCTAGATCTCCTATATATCATATTACTTTCTGTAAGGGCATCCTGAAGGAAAACAGTGAGTTTGCCTACACTTTTATTGCAGTACTATTGGAAAATGCAAGCAAGGAAAAAAAAAATAATCCATCTAAATCTAACATCTTGGTATACTCAGTTTTTGGGTGTGCAGAAGTATTATCCAGCATTAAACTGTTTATTACGAACCAGTATTTTCCTATGTCAAAAGTAATTGCCATAAGTGATGGCTCTACTATTATTTCATTGGCTTCACTTCAAATCCCATACCTTTTATTATGAAAGACCTCAATGGAGGCCCTGAGAGTCTGCTTCCTTGTAACAGAACCCCAAAGCTGCGAGATAACAACCGAGAATACCAAACAACTCAAGCAGTCTGGCGACACCAGTATCATCCAGTACTCTATCAGGTGAGACAGTAACTTTGATCATTGGCTATCTGTTGTCTTCTATGATAATGGTTCTTCTAGGATAGGTGTCAACGTCCACAAATATGTAGCGGACCTCAAGTCTTCCTCTCTCAGGATTCTGTAAGAAAAACAATTTCAGGCTGTTTTGGTTTTGTTTTGTTTTTTTTTTTTCCTCTTTGGTAGTTTTGAACTCAAGATTAAGCTTGTCAGCTGTATCAAGCAATTGTACGTACCTCTTTGACTTCCACATGGACTGTTCCCTGCTTTCCCGATTCAGAGCCCTCGATATAGAACTTCAAACGCATATGTTTCAGTCCATCCTTTATGTATTCAATGTGACTAAAACAGCAAAACAAAAACCCAAGCCACCCAGCAAGGATACATGTTATATGCTAGTTAAAATCTAAACAACTTCTTTAGAGGAGCTGTTTAACTATTTTGTACGAAAATTTATTCCGATGCAATCCTTATGCTACCGTGGGTTCATTCTCTCTACGCCTCTTCCGAAGCTCTGCTGTGAGCATAAGGACTAGTGGAGTTAGAAGAACTAGTATGAAGTTGAGGATTAACAGACTAACTGCTTATATATCCCCACCCCAGCCCGCCCCTTGAAAGTCAACAGCTATCCAGTGGCTGAAAATTCTGGAATTTCCTTGCGTTTATTCTAAAGAACCCCCAGCTTCAGAGTCTGACACGCAGAAAGGAACACCCACATCATCAAGACTGCCAGGGTTTGGGGGTTTTTAGGCACTTAAAATGAAGTTACCAAGCCAAAGCACACAAACAATGTTCTGTTAACTTAATTATCAATTATCAGGTTGGTTAAATCACATCAAAACAAACACTTCACTATATGCTTGACGTATTTTGGCAATAATTTTGTTCTACTAAAGTTGTGTAACTTTAGCACCGATATCAAACCTCCGGTCTAAATGCTGATATTTAGACTGAAGTTAGGTTATGCTCAATATCAGATAAAGGTCATGTTACTTTCAAGGTGACCACTTCCAAAAACGAACGGTCAAACTAGAGTTCTGGTGCCAGCTTATGCTTCCTACTGAAATTACTAACTGCTGCATACTACCAAGGTCTTATTTTCATCAGTCATGCTCAGATACACACTGTGAATTAAACTTCCAATATGTTTAAGGTGACATTATTGGTTACAGAGAACAAGGATGAATGAAGAGCCTTATTGCAGTAAATTCATATTCAAGGTATTCATAAACACACACAGAAATCTACTCTTTTTGAGACATTGTTACACTGCAGACACAAAGTCCTCAGCTCAAAAATTTATTTTAAATACTAAACTTTCAAACTGATGGGAATACTAGGAAAGCTTATAGTGCATTTACTTATTTACACAGCTTCTTTTACAGACAGGTGCTTAAAACATTTAGTGCATATCCTTTTCATTAGCAGCTCCACTTTAAACACTTTTTCACAGTCTGGTGAAAAGATAAAACTTCCACCAGTAAATAACACTTTCCTCTGGGAAAAAAAAAAAAAGTTTCTCAATTTCACGGTTCAAGTTATGCATCTGGGCTTATGTGTCCCAGCCTGTATGAAACCTCCTCAGGTAAATTCAAGTCAAAGGACCCAATAAAGACAAAGCCCCTACTGTGTTACAGGGCAGGGAGGATTCACATTTTCTAAGAATTACTTCTGTTACTTCCCTCAAATACCCTGATGAAAGGTTTAGGTGAGAGATGTTCTGTTAAATACACAGTATAGATGTGGCCTCAAGTACCAAAAATCAGTTTAAGAAATGGGCAGCCAATACTGCAGATCAGCTTGGGACAATATAATCACTGCAGTGATTACAACCTGTACAGTCAGGCCCAGCCCAGCTTTAAAGAGAGCAAGCTATAAAGTCTGAAATTTAGTACCTCCTGCTCTTTCTGGCCTGATAAAAACTACTGCTTCAAAAGGAGAAAAACTCTTCAGGAACAACTTTTCAAAGAATGATTTCACTCTATTTGGGGGTTTCAGACTGTAAACTTCAGTCAGATCCCTGCTCCCCAGATGCATGTGTAGGCCTCTGTACTGCTCCCTTCAGACTCTTCCTATTTTTCAGAGAGTCCGGCTCTGTGTTTACTGTTCTGACCACTGCTTGTTTTGAGGCACTCAGAATTGGCATTTTGCACTGTATGTATGCTGTACTTAGCAGTATGTGCTCCACAAGATGTACTGCAAAATACTGCTTTCGTTTTCACTCAAAAGTAACAGTGTATGCCACATGCAGTTCATTAATCTAGATCTAGCTTTCTATTATGAGACCTAAAATGTCTCCGCTGTGCCTGTATGGGACAAACACCAAAGGGCACCTGACAAGCTGTCGTCTTCCTCTTCTTGTTGCCTCCCCATAACCTTTAATGGATTCACCAAAAACACCGATTATCTACAAGAGAAGAGAGGCTTTAGTTGTCAGAAGGTATCACATTGAAACAGATATTCCAGAAATGCTATGAATGTATTTCACTTTCAACAAAATGCCCCCTCTGAGTCTGATGTGTCAAGGGTAGAAAAGTTTATGACAGAGAACAGTGTAAGGAAAATTCCTCCGCATTTCAGTGCTTTCTTTGACAATCACAGATTAGATGTCTAAAATCCCACTATCTTCCATTTGTACTGTTCTCTGTGATTATGACATTTTAATCTGTCTTCTTACTGTGTATTTTATACTTTACTGACATTTTGTGTAAAATGGAAAAAAAAGCATGAAATATTTGATCATGTCTCCTCCAAGACAGTATGTTTCAAAGTTTAAAACGCAAATGCATTCCTCTTCACATTATCTAAAAAACATTAAGAAATTCAATTTTTTTGCCCAGATCTGTAAAGCCAGACCAAATTAAGCTACTTTTAACATAGTTGGTTAAAAAGAGAGGGTGATTTTTACTGTGTAAACATTGCAGAGAAGTTTTAATTCTGCAAACTTGTTTCAAACCAGTCTCCATTGTTATTCTAGTGACAACCTGTTACTTCTTTTCTAGGCTATCCTCAGTGGCATCTGTGGCAATCTTGTTTGAAAGCTGCTCCGTGCATTTCTTGGTGTGCCTGAAGCAGTGGCTTTTAGAATCCAGTGTTAAGAGTGACTTTTGTTTACATCTAGCTACCTTGTGTGATAACATGACTGTTCTCTCTTTTTCTGTTAGCCACGGGAATGCTATCTGTGTTTCTCATGAAGAGTTTAAATTCCTGGATACTTACGCAGTGCTTCACAGTATGACTGAACCTTAGTGAAGTGTCACAACAGACACTTGTGAGATTCTTTGTGCAAACTTCTCAAAGTTAGACAGTAAACTACTGAGAAACATAAACTTGTGACTAAGGTTCAAAAACAAACCTCAGGGTGAGATCTGCATTTCTCCAAGGCATCTCCATAGATCTTACTTGGACTAGAAGAAGAGAATAGTTCTTTAAAAATCACATAAAACAAACCACCTGTAACAGAAACAACAGCAAATGGAATGAAAACTAATCAAACCAGATGGAATTCATGAAAAGCATCTTCTAATAAAGAATATAATTTTTAGAAATAACCTGTAACACCAATTCCAACAAGCACCACAATAAAATAGGTAAAGTCTCTTCCAGCATCTTTCACTGAAATAGACAGAAAACAAGCAGGAGTTACAATCTTGTACAGTAAGATTTGCATAGTTTTCTTCTATAAATGCTCTTCTATTTGTCTGCAGCTCAAATAACATTTTGGCACAAGAAAGAAATCCACTAACAGCTTCATGATGCCTCATCACTAAAAGAGACCATGGAACATCTCTTATCCCGTACACAGCATGCTTATACCTCTGTACTAAACCTTATTATTTTCTGTTTTTTCCTACTAGATATTTTCAAGACCCAGAATACTACTGCTACTTTTTGTGTAATGACAGATAGTTTTTTTAAGAAGTAATGAGGTGTTTATTTAGCACTGCTGTATTCGTGCAACTACGTAAACCCCCAATCATTGCAATCCTCATGCAATGAAAGAGAAAAGTAGAAAATGAAAAAGGACAAGCTTATAAATGGCACACACTGACTGAAAATAACAGATTTTATGAGTTCTTAATGAAGTGAACAATTACAAGCATATTAGACGAAAACGTATTTTATTTGAGATCATTAACTGCAGCTTATCTGATTAATTTTATCTATTGGTTTTGATGTAAAGTGTCAGCATGCATACAAAAAAAACCCCTTAAAACAGCCACGAGATTCTCTGTTACAAAATGTTTTTGAGAACCTGGAAAGAAACTACTGATTTGCTTAGGTGATGAAGTCATGCCTTTCAGTGAAATACGCTACAGGGGAAATTTTAGTAACAGTTTCTCCTGCAATCTTCTAACCAGTTGAGGGTGGTTTTCCGAAACCTTTTCAAAGCACTTAGAACTTTTGAGGTTAATTCTGCAGAAACCATTTTCACTGAAGTGAGTGAGAGCAATCAAAGTGACAACCATAAACTAGCATCACATGTAGACGTTTAACAATTTTCTAGAAATAAACTTGTTTCAACAGCTTCAAGGCACACTGTGTGCAGTAGGTTTGCCTTTTGAAAAGGAAAATGAGAGGCGACTACATAGAATCACAGGATAGTTTGGGTTGGAAGTGACCTTCAAAGATCATCTAGTCCAAGTCCCTGCAACAAGCAGGGACATCTCTTGCCCAGAGCCACATCTCGTCTGGCCTTGAATGCCTTCAAGGATGGTGCATCTACCCCCTCTCTGGGCAACCTGTGCAAGTGTTTTACCACCCTCATTGTAAAGAATTTTTTCCTCACATTCAGCCTGAATCTCCCCTTTTCGTTTAAAACCATTACCCCCATCTTATTGTAACAGGCTCTGCTAAAAGGTCTTTCCCCATTTTTCTTATAGGCCGCTTTTAAGTACTGAAAAGCCACAGTACGGTCTACCTGGAGCCTTCTCCAGGTTGAACAACCTCAACTCTCTCACTCAGCCTTTCCTCGTTGAAAATCTTATCCCTGATGTGACTTAACCACTAATACGCAAGCTGTTTGGAAGAAGCCACCAATTTCTGTTTTGCTTGTGCAATACGTAAACTGAAACTGATCAACTGCTGCTAACAAAAGGACGTGGAAAGAAAGGGCTCGGTGTTTTAAATTCCTGAGTTTGGGGGTTATAAGATCTCAGCTGCAGCAGTACTTCCCCTCCTTGCCAGCACACAGTGCTCCCATTCACAAGTGACTACAGCCCGTCTTACCTCTCTGAGCAGCCGATAGCAAAGTTTCTCCTTTCTCAGCCCTTTGCACGGCCACGTGTTTGTTATTATCGCTAGGTTTCTCAGCTCTCAGCCCCCAGGCTTGTATTCCGATACTCCTCCGGGCGGCCCGGAGCAGCAGGGTGGGCTCCCTGCAGTGGATATGGTGCCGCCACCTCAGGCACAGGCGGGGGCACTGCCCGGGCTCCGTCTGCAGCAGGGCCCAGCCATGGGGAGCGAGCAGCCGCCTCCCCAGAGCGGTTCGCACCCACTCGCCGCGCTGCCAGGCCCGCGCAAGGGAGGAGGGCAGCATGCCGGGGCTCTGCTCCCAGCCGCCCTCAAGGAAGCACGGCCGAGCTAAACGGGAAACTTCCGTCACAAGCCACCGTCCCCACTGGGGTCTCTCGGGGAAGAGTCAGGGCAGCTCCACACCAAGAGCGTGGCTCCCCAGCCGGCGCTCCTGGTCAGGAATCGCTATTAGCCTTTACGGGGCGGCAACAGCCGCTCGCCGCTACCCTAGCGGAAATCTTCCCGGGGGCGGCGGAGAGGACGGCAGCGGCGGGCCTTAGGAGCGGTAGTTTAAACGGGCTCCCTCTTGTGCCCGCCGCTAAGAGCGGCTCCCAGCAACATCACTACAACGACCGCCATGCCGAGCGCCGCTGCCACCACGGGGCGGGGACACTCGGCAGCTAAAGAGGGGGGAGGTCCGCCCCGCGTCGTACGGCGGAAGTTGCTCTCGCCTTTTTTATGCTTTTTAATATATTATATGTATATGTATATATATACATTTGCTTTTTGATCTTGCACACAGAGGTTCCTAACAGCAATGCAGGTGACGTTTCCACCAGAGAACGGCTCTGGCTTCACGGAGCCGGCGCAGCGGCTCACTGCGGGGAGGGGAGCGGAGGAGGCCTTGACAGGGGCTCATGGCGGGAGTCAATGCGATTCCCGGGTGTGTTAGCGCTTTCCGTGTGCCCCACACCGGGCTGCTCGGATGCCCAAGGACCGTCGGGGCAGGCACGGCAAGGTGCAGTGGGCAGTCAAGCCCGACAGCTGTCTTGCCCCGGGTCTGCCCCGATGGCCCATTCTGAGCCCGCTTCGGCCCCTGCTGGCAGCTCTCGAAAAGGGCGTCGTCTCTCCTGTCCCACTACAAGTTCCAGGGGTGGGAACTCCCGCAGCTTGTAGGGACCAATAGAACCCCGTCATTGCACCACCCTCCCCGCGGCGGCGCTCCTGGGCCCGCCCCACGGCCTCACGTAGGAGGTAGCAGCGCCCTCCTTCCCTCTCGTCTGGTGCGAGGCCACTGGCGTTAGGCGGAGCTGGCCATGGCGACGGGCTGTGGTAGGCACCAGCGTGAGTGCAGGGCGGTGCCGGCAGCCGACGTGGCGGCTTTTCCTGGTGCCGCAGAGGTCGGGCTGCCGTCGCCGCCTGTTACCCCCGCCGTCAGGCCCAGGTAATGGTTTCTCTGCCCGGCCTGGGGAAAGGCTGCCAGGCGGCGTCGACTGGGGTTACAGCGCTGTGCTGACCCAGGGCTGCCGGCTCGTGTTTTGGCACGTTGCCCTTAGGGAGTGGTTTGATGTTTAACTCCTGTTGCTGGTCAGGGAATTCCGGCCCACCTGTCTCACGGCTGTGGTTTGAAACCCTGAACTTGCTATAACTCAGGCCTGCTCTTTTATGGCCATAGTGTTCTTCTCTCCCTGGCCCTGTGGAGGGGTTTCTTTGTGGAGGTGACACCTTGTGGTAGGAAGCACGAGCATTCCACGTGTACATAAGGTTTATTGCCCTGATTTCTGTCTGGGTAGTGGGGCTTAAACTTTGCAATGTGCTTGAGCTTAGAAGTAGTACTATGTGGTCTTTCAGTTCTTAAAAGGGGCCTATAAGAAAGGTGGGGAGAGGCTTTTAGCAGGGACTGTTGTGCTAGGATGAGGGGTAATGGCTTTAAACTAAGAGGGAAGACTCGGGCTGTATGGGAAGAAAGAATTCTTTATGGTGAGGGTGATAAAATACTGGACCATGCTGCCCAGAGAGGTGGTGGATGCATGAACCCTGGAGACATTCAAGGCTAGGCTGGATGTGGTTCTTTGCAACCTGATTTAGTTGAAGATATGCTTGCTCATTGCAGGGAATTGGACTAGATGAGCTTTGAAGGTGATGAGCAGTAGCCCTTCTACAAAGTACTAGCTAGCTTTGTGGCTGATGTAGGTATGTTGAGGGTAGTTATGCCTTTGTAGTACATGGGCAGATTTCATTGTGGAAGGTGTGATTAGCTTAATTCTTACAGTGAAGGTTCAGCTTCCAGAAGTTTAAATCTTAGAGGCAAAGTTGAGAAAGCAGTTTTTTCTGCTAATTCATTTGTACCACCTTGGGTTTCATAGCAGTTTCATTCCCCCCATTTGTTTAACCTGTAAATGGCCTGCCTAATACCCACCTTTCTAAAAGACCTTGGACTTCTTAGTAGAGAAAAAGAAACAAGATGTCAAAACATTGCTGTTATTTCTGTTTATCCCCAGGTATGCATTTAACCTCTACAGAGGTCAGGGTTTGTCAGCTTTGTATGCTTTCTTTGAAATAGTTTTGTTCCCTGGCCAGCAAAACCCTCAATAGTAATTTGCAAGTACTTCAGGGTGTGAAAGTGTAAATACTGGTACAAAACTGAGTCCCACAAATTGAAAACTAATGAAATGGCAGTTGAGATTGTTTGGCCTCTAAGCAGGAACATCTCGTTTGTTACTAGAAGCCTCTAGAAGAGGGGGAGTAACATTGATTTTTAACTTGAGCAGGCAAGGTTTGTCAATACGGCATGAAAGTGTTTTCTTAATACTGATTTCAAGTCTTAGCAGACAGAATTAAAAAAAAATAGTTTAGGATTTCCTGTTGTTTCTGCATACCTGAAGAATGTTTTTGGTTTGGAAGATGCAAAAATTCAGTACTTGTTTTGAATCGAAGCTCACAAAAGTGGTAGATACTACTATATCGAAGTTCTCAAGGCACGTGTAGGCAGCATTTCTCTTCAGAAATTCCTTCCTGGGGTGAAGAAGAGGGGGTTGCAAGGAGTGGTTAAAAAGAGAGCAAGAAGGACTGAATAGAGACAGTGCAAGTTATGCTTGTATCAAGTAAAGTGTGTTGTAAAAACCTGGATCTAGCACCTGATCTAAATTTTGTACCTGGCATCTGTGTAGGTATGTCACTCTAGAATTTGCCCAAACTAAGTATCTTTGTGCTTTCAGCATAGCTAGGGGAATAGGCTGGCACATGCTGCCCAGAACGATCCAGAAGTGGTAATTCTGCTGCTGTTGAACATGACTTATAGCCCTGAATCCCTTCAGTGGGCTTTTGAAAAATGCAGTTTGTTGTAGCCTTATTGATTAAGTGTACTTCTCGATAATAATACATGGGTAAAGCATTTGCTTGACCTTCAGGGTATATTTGACATACAGTAGTTGTTAATTTTGTCAGCCTATCAGTGAAGTTAGTCTGTCATTTCAGCCAAGCTGAAATGTGCATAATTTTGTGTCATGCTTATAGCAATTTCCAGGAGAATTTCAAGGATCTTTTTAATTTATTTATCTATTTATTTTCCCTAGCACAACTGACAATGTAGGTCAAAGTTGTTCTTTCTAATTTTTATTTTTCTTTGAGCACAAGCCAATCTCAGTTCAAGAACATTGGGCATTAAATGTGCGTGGTATCCATGTACTTCAAAATTAGATTGCAATTTCATTCCCAAAATGTAATGGGTTGCTTGGAAACCCAGAGTTGGACTGACCAGGTGTTGTAAAGTCACTTGGCAATGCAAATGATCGCTAACAAAGTGTATGGGGAGCTCTGTCTGCTTGGTGGCATCAGTGGGTATGATGTGTTAAGGATTTGATTAAGTTTGAGTCTCCGATATGAATATTTTTATGTGGTTGAGTGACAGTGTTTGCAATTACAGCTTCTAAAATTTTTACTATCAGGAAACTTGGAAAAAATGTGTGGCCAGTTGGATTTTAAGAATTTGTTAGTGTTAAAATTACAAAGTTACTTTTTTTAGTAAAAGAAAGTAATTTTTGTCAAAACTGTTGCTTGTTACTGAGCAGTAAGAGCATTGATACTATTTTGCCTGTTAAACTAGCACTTACTGTTCAGATTTGTGGGTACTTTAGCAAGGGGAAGTCTGAAATAAGACTAATTTTGTTTCAAATACGGTTCTGTAGTCTGTACACAAGTATGGTTGTGTAGTCCAAGGAATTCTGTTTGAGCCTTGTCAGTTTTTGAGAAAGTTTCAAGGTACTGTTTTATTCGATATCTTTGAATAGCTTAACAAATTTGAGTGGCTCAAAAGCATCTCTGGAGTACTTTTGGAACATGATTATGGTGGCCACACTGGTGCAGCTGTCTAATGTTAATGGATTTCTACTGAATTCAAATTGATTTGGTGGTGCAACACTGTTCCCTTTTGACTACTGTAAGAGATTAATCATAGGAGAGACACCTATGAGTTTAAATCTGGCGTCTTCCTGATGTCAGGTATTTTAACTTGGTGATAATTGTTCAAATTTCTGAACTGATAATAATGACTTCACAAATATTCAGGGAATTCATACAGTGTATTCCCTGAATCCTGTCTCATTTGAGATGTGGAATCTAGGTGTGCACAGTATGCATATTTCTTCTTTTTGTGATGATGTGATTTCTAAAAGCTTTTGCTTCTCAGAACTAGGTCAAGGAGCTCTGCTGCCAGGCCTCAGGGAGATGCTAGAGCTGTACATGCTGGAATTAAAAGTCTGTATTTGACACCTTCCATAAAACCGGAGTCTAATTTGGGTATAGAGAGGTGAGTATGTCTTCAGTTTAGGAGTAAGAGTGGAACACCCCTTGTAGACTATATGTTATCTTTTGACTGCTTACCAGTTACTATATGGAGAGTTCCATATCAGATATTTTGAGTTGAAAGGGAAAGATTTGCTTTCCTGGCCTTTGTTGATCCTGATGTTATCTGGCATGTTTTTCCTCACCTCCTTTTCCAAGTTCATATGAAGTATGTAGGTAAGACTTCAGCAGCTCCTTTGCAAGTCATGGCCTGTGTTATTCCTCAAGGATAAAAATTGTTACTGTATTTGATAAAAGCCAGTTTGGAATTAAACTTCAGTGTTTCTCTTGATGTTTCTCTTGATGTTTGCTGCTTTGTACAGAGAGGCTTAGGCTGGTGGAGTGGGATGAGGGGGGAAGAATAGAGTGGCTGCTCCATATTTGTTGCAAGGTAGATGTTTCCCTTCCTGTTTGACAGTGAAAGGGCACTTTCATGTAGTCATGTGTTTTTTCTTTTTTAAAATTAGCTAGGTTTCTACAGAAGACATCTGAGAATATGTTACAGGAAAGATTAATTAATTTTTTAATGTACATTTTGTAACTTCCTGTGTAGCCATGTCTCTGTTTTCCATTGGAT